TGGTATTGTGAATCTGTGATATTGTGATGAATTTGAAACAGGTGGGCTCTGCAGCCTATGCTTGTGCGGGCAGTGGTTGGTTACAACTGCCAATTGTAACCCTTTTTTTTTTTTTTTTATTTATGAAAAAAGGGTGGGCTTACTCTTTAAAAGCCCAACATTTTGGGCTTCAAATTGTAAAAAGCTTAAAATTGTAAAAAGTTATAAAAGCCCAACATTTTGGGCTTCAAGGCCCAATCCCGAAGTTTCCCGAAAATCCCGAAACACTTTCGGGAATCCCGAATTTCGGGATTCCAATAATTTTGGTTCGGTTTCGGGATATAAAATCCCATCCCGAAATGTTTTGGTTTGGGAATCGGGTTCGGGGTTTCGGTTCGGGATCCCGACCCGAACCAGCCCTAATAACCGTTGGACTACATATTAGATATTTTAGTTTTTTTTTTTTTTTGAGACATCGTTTAGTAAATCATATAACGTGATTGTTGATAATTAGATTATTACTCAAATCTCTACTAATTAATAAAACACTCATTGTCAACCAAAACCTATGAAATTACCAGTTTAACCCTCTAATTAAAACAGAACATGAATAAGAAATATGGGGCAGAAATGTAATTTCACACAACCAAATTTTGCTATTTTTTTTCAAAGTTTCACATACATGTAATCCTAACATATCTCTAATTAAAATAAATAAAAAATAAAAATTTCTCACTCCCACATTGTCTATCAATCTCTTCCTCTTTCGTTCTATTTCAAAAACAAATATAAAAAATTTCTCACATATTTTGGGTGTGCCCATATGCTAGTATTAATTAACGTAATTATTTTCTATTACTAACACATTACATAGTCTATTTAATTAATTTAAAAATTAATTTACTTAACATTATTCGAAATATAATCATACTACATGTAAAAGCAATAAAAAAAATGGGTAAAAGACTGTTTACTACCCTCATGTTTCGTGGTTTTCAACATTTAGTACATCAAGTTTTTTTCGTCTCAGAGTCATACCTAAAGTGTAAATTTTGGGACAGTCTCATACATCCGTTAGTCAAACTGTTAAGTTTTTCGTTAACTGTGACGTGGCGCACTGACTGAGCGCCACGTGTCATCCACGCTTCTTTTCTTCTTCTTTTCTTCTTCTTCTTCTTCTTCTTCTTCTTCTTCTTCTTCTTCTTCTTCTTCTTCTTCTTTCTTCTTCTTCTTCTTCTTCTTCTTCTTCTTCTTCTTCTTCTTCTTCTTCTTCTTCTTCTCTTCTTCTTTCTTCTTCTTCTTCTTCTTCTTCTTCTTCTTCTTCTTCTTCTTCTTCTTCTTCTTCTTCTTCTTCTTCTTCTTCTTCTTCTTCTTCTTCTTCTTCTTCTTCTTCTTCTTCTTCTTCTTCTTCTTCTTCTTCTTCTTCTTCTTTCTTCTTCTTCTTCTTCTTCTTCTTCTTCTTCTTCTTCCGACTGCAACTTTCTTTTTTCTTTTTTTTTTTTTTTTTCTTCCTCCTCTTTCTTCCTTCCTTCCTCCTTCCTCATTCCTTCCCTTTCTTCCCCTTCTTCCTTCTTCTTCCTTCTCATTCTCCTTCTTCTTCCCAAATCTGGGGAAGCTTTTTTTTTGTTTTGTTTTTTTTTTGTTTTTTTTTTCTTCTTCTTCTTCTTCTTCTTCTTCTTTCTCTTTCCTCCTTCCTTCTTCTTCTTCTTCTTCTTCTTCTTCTTCCGAATCTACCCAAATTCAGTTTTTTCATTTTTTTTTTCTTTTTTTTTTTCTTTTTTTCTTTTTTCTTCTTTTCTTCTTCTTCTTCTTCTTCTTCTTCTTTTCTTCTTCTTCTTCTTCTTCTTCTTCTTCTTCTTCTTCTTCTTCTTCTTCTTCTTCTTCTTCCTCCGAATTTGCCTAGATTCAGTTTTTTTTTTCTTCCTCCTTCTTCTCCTTCTTCCTTCCTCCTTCTTCCTTCCCCTTCTTCTCCTTCTTCCTTCCCCTTCTTCGTTCTTCTTCTTCTTCCTCCGAATTTGGGGGAAGATGAAAGGTTTTTTTTTTTTGAGGAAGAAGAAGAAGAAGAAGGAGGAAGAAGGGGAAGGAAGAAGGAGAAGGAGGAAGAAAAAATTGCAGTCGGAGGAAGAAGAAGAAGAAGAAGGAAGAAGAAGAAAGAAAGAAAAAAAAAAAAAACAAACTTCCCAGATTTCGGAGGAAGAAGAAGAAGAAGAAGAAGAAGAAGGAAGAAGGGGAAGGAAGAAGGAGAAGGAAGAAGCAAAAAATAAAAAAAATAAAAAAAAAACGTAGATGACACGTGGCGCCCAGCCAGTGCGCCACGTCACAGTTAACGAAAAACTTAACAGTTTGACTAATGGATGTATGAGACTGTCCCAAAATTTACACTTTAGGTATGACTCTGAGACGAAAAAAACTTGATGTACTAAATGTTGAAAACCACGAAACATGAGGGTAGTAAATAGTTTTTTATCCTAAAAAAATCATCCACAATCCAGCAGGGGCCATTATAATGGAATCTTCTTCTTGAATTCTGATTTGATTTATATTTAATTTGGATACTGAGTCACTTTGTTGTGGAAATATTTTGTTGTATGATTTGGTCAGAAATGTCTACATCTCGTGCGATATCTCATCCCACTAGGAAGGATAAAGGGACACATAAAAATAGTAGAGAACCATTGCACATTTGTCTTCAACCATAAATTTGTTAAGTGGAATCAATATTTTGACAAGTGGCCCTTGCACGTCATGTTGGCATTTGGCACTATGTGCCCCTGAATCAAATTACAAAAAGTTTCTTTGACTGAAATAATATCATATTAAATGCATCAAAGAAGAATGAAGGAAGAAGAAGAGCTGAACAACAAAATTTGATAGAAAGCTAAACTGTATAATTTACGTGTCCATGTGTAATTGGAGATATAGGTTTACTTGTGCGCTACATCAATAAATTGATAAAATATTTAACATAGATAGCATGGGTTTTTTTATTTGAAACTAAGTTTTCATTTCTGTAAAAATAACAGAGTACAAGAAGATTGGGAGAGTAAGGGAAGCCTCGTTATAAATTTCCAGTGTAGAGGGACAAAAAGAGTACTCCACCGGGATGCTCTCCACTTACATTCAATTATCATTCGCCAAATCTACTTCTAGAATAGGAATGAGCCAAAGTGGCTCCTCCTCTATCCAAGTATGAAAACCTTCATTGTGAATGCCAAATTTTGCTAATTCATGATCCACCATGTTTCCTTCACGCTGTTTCCATTTACATGAAAAATAAGAGAATCTCTTCTTCAAGGTATCAATCGCCTCCAATATATTATCATCCCTATCAAGATGAAAATCAATTACAACAATTAAATCCACTGTGCTTTTGGAATCCAGTTTCAAAATTATAGAAGTGAACCTCGCATCGTATGCAAATAATAAACCCTCCTTTGCCGCGAGCAATTTGGTTGTTAAAGCATCGAAATAACCATATAGATGTATCACACAACCTACCATCAAAGCCCCATCGTCATTTATAATAACAACTCATACACCTCTATTCAATCCCTTCAACGATATTGCTCTAACATTGACTTTGAATATGCCCCCGGGGGCCCGGTGGATGCTGCCATCGCCGATCCTCCATAGCCCCATTGCCCCGCACTTGGTCAATCTTGTTGGCACCTTGAAAATCAAGAAGAAGATAAAAAAAAAATAAAAAAAAACTTGACAATAGCTCGGCAAAATAGGTAGTGAACATATTTTGAACCTCATTGGTCTGGGAATCCAATTGTAAACGGACAAGGCAATCCCATTATCCTTCCCCCATACGAGAGACGGCCAAATGAAAGACGGTCGAACGCGCAACCCCGCCTGGAGGATTGTATTAGTCGGATAGTAGCCAGCACGATAAACATACTTGCTTGGCGAGCGACGCCTGATTGAAACATTCGAAATCCCAAAAACCCAAACCACCTTCGTACTTGCTCCGACATAAATTCTCCCATTTAGTCCAATGTATTCCTTTCTCATTCTTTGATTTGGAGCACCAATACTTTGGACATCCGAAAATAACTGAAGAGCTTTTCTTTCCACCCACATATTTTCTTCCCAACTCGGTCTTTAATGGCCCCAGAAAGTTGTCATCGGCAAGCCCAAGTATTTGTCATGGCCCTGCACAATTGGCATTCCCAAGTCAGAAGCCACCATGATTTTTAGATTTGGAAGAATTTTATTCACAGTTTCACACGAACCCCTTGTGGATTAATAGATGGTGGTAAATTTTAGAGACAATAATGATTAATATCTAGAATTTAGGGATCAAAATTAGGAACGAGGTCAAAACCTTCTATCTCTTAGCTTTTCTTCGAAAAAATCATTTTAGTAAAAAGCACCCAAACCAGAAATTATATAACCGTTGGACTAAATATTAGATACTTAGTTTTTTTTTTATTATTGGAAACATCGTTTACTTTCTTCACTGCAATTGAATGTTATAATGATTTTAGAATTGTCTAATTTTTGCTAATATGATATAAGAATGTTGAATAGAAATTTACCTCTTCGCTTTAGATGATATATGAATATTGAATTGAAATATAAACTTTTTGGATCATTGAAAATGTACAAAATGCATCCTACAAAGTATCCCTCAAATCCTCAGTAATATGGGAACATTGAATTGAAATATAAACACTTGGGATCATTGAAAAAGTTACGAAATGCATTTCACAAAGTATCCCTCAAATCCTCAATAGAAGAAACGGTTATTTTGAACAAGTTACCTAGAACAGCCCTAGACACTGCCTATAATCTTCTCATGCAACAGATACCCCTGTAGTTTCCTTTTCAATAAGATGAGCATTTTTCAACAAGATAATTTCTTTGACAATCATGCTTTGACAACATACTCATATGATTTCCTAATATTTTGCAATGTTGTAAACTTTATGCATCTCAACAACTTTAGCATGTACCCAACAAAATCAGACAAATACAGTGAACAAATCATAAATCCTATAGAGCATAACAATTCGCTTGAACCGCTGTACCGCTGTAATAAGAACTTCAAGTGAACCAAAAATGGGGACTTTCAGTGGCACAACAATGTTTCCGAACAAAATCAGACCAAAAAGGGCAAAGTTACATCACATAACATTATCTGATTCCACATTAGTAGTGCAAAATAAACTGTCGACAATAGCGGAGACAAACGTATGGCCCTTAAGGACAAAAAGAAATGATGGATATAGTCACCATAGTAAATGTAAAAGACAATGATTTTCCCTAACATCACCACAAAAAAGGTGTGAATGCATACTTGCGCCTTGATGACCAAAAACAAACACCTTTCCCGTTTAAGTATTGGTGGCTCTGGTGTAAATCTGCTGGCTAGCATGAGCAGCTATCAGCCTAATGGAACCCCTTGCCATCAAATCCTTAATTGCACGGCGAGCCAATGATCCATTAATCTGAAGAAAAATAAAACAATGAAACAAGAGAAAAGAAATTAACTTTAGTTACTTTACGATCAAGTTGACAAAGTCAATGAACACTTCATCGACCAATAGGCTAAAGACTTGGAAATTGTAATATAATCAGCAACTAAAAACACAATGCAAAATATGCGGAGAACTTAAACCGTCATTTGAAATCCAATCATTATAACAGCTATACATGGAGTTTAAGCGTAATGGGATAGTGGGGTTCTCAGGAACGATCTTTTGGACAGTAAAAAAAACAATTTTTGTTACTTTAACTGCCTATGCATGCTTATAAAGCATTTGAATTTATGTCTTCCATGATGATCCTTAATTACGATTTGACTCATAGTACAACATGGGTGGATATATAGTATACGAGTTTCTCAGTTGACAATCAGTAATAACAACAGGATGTGATGTGACGTGATGAAAAGTGAGAAGAAAAGAATCATAGATGCAATGAACTATCTTATAATGCTTTCCATTAGTCCCCAGATTTGCCAAAAAAACAGAACCCTACCAACCAAAGTGTGACATAAACAGTCCAAAAGTCGACGAGAGATGAACAAAAAGAAAGACCCAACATTGGAAGAATAGATAATTGGAGTAGAGTATGAGGACTGGAAAAGGATTAGCAGCTGCTTAAGCACTAAAGAGGAAAACTGATTTACCGCAAAATAATACAAGTTTCCCTGATATTCTATTAAAACGAAGGACATTAGGTTAAATTATCACGGCCCAAATTAAGCCTAATAGTTTAAAGCTTAAATTCATCAGTGTCGGTTATTTTAGGAAACAATCAGCTAGAAAACTTTCCTAATTGCGTCTAGAAGAGATTAAGTATGCATGCAGGAACAGAGTAACAGAAGTCATAAGCATATAATGCTAGCTCTGAAGCTCAACTGAGGGAATAAAAATCTCGATATGCGCACAAATTACATGACAAATACAACATAACTATCCAATCACATTGAGTAATTGCGCCAGTTTTGTTTGACATGTAAAAATGTGAATCATGATGGTGAATACAAGCAAAGCACAGCAACAGTTGCAACAAATTTACATCTATACTGTGTATTTAGTGAGAAAGTAATTATGCCATTAAACAGAGCAGGGTGAAAACAACAACTTGGAACAAACCCTTTTACAAAGTTGACAAATTATTTACATTGTAAACCTATAATCATAAAAGAAATAAAAAATTAAGAACTAACGACGAGTATACCATCTATCTAATACAAATTGTAAGTAGATAGATACTGCCAAAGAGATAAAAGGATGAACTTGTAAAGATCATGCATCATTTCAATCACTTTATTGATACCCACGATACCTTTTCGTCAATTTGTTTACCAAAAACTATAAATCCATTTTGAAAATTAAGCATTATCTAACTGAAACAGATACTTAGACTTCGAAAATAAGGGACATTTATACAGAATAACAACTCCCTATGTAAACAACCATTCATAGAATAAGAACTCGAACTCGGATTCATACCCTCAGTCTGTCAGACAAGATGGAAGGAGTAATGAGTTTGTACTTCGGAACTTCTGAAAGCAGCTTGTCGTAGGTGCCCTGATCAAACAAAACCATGTTGTTCACCTTCTCCTTTTGCTTTCCCTTGCTCCACTTCTGTTAATCCATCAAACAAAGTAAAAAAAAATGAATATATTTTCTCACATTTCACACACAAAACTCCATGAAAGTACTGAAATCTTTCAATAATGATCCCAAACAATCAAATAAAAGACCCAAATAGTAGAAACAAATTCTGGATAGGAAAAACAAACGGACTTTCTTCTTCTGCTTGCCTCCTCCGGACTTGGCAGGCTTTGAGGACGGTGGGGGAGCCTTATCCTTCTTGGGAGCCTGTAAAAACAACAAGTACAAGAAATTAAGCGACGAATCTACAAAACTCAAAGAACAAAAATGTGGCATTCAGATTTTTTGCAAGCATTAGAAGGGAAATGAAGAGACTTTGGGGGTCGGAAGGGAGAGAAAATTACCATGGCGATGGAGAGTCGCGGATTCGCAGGGGTTGCCTGGTTCTGGAGTCAATGTGGAGTATGATGCAGCCGTCAGAGGCTCAGAGGGAGAAGGTAGAGTTAGGGTTTAGAAAAGAAGAGCAAAGAAATACAGTTTGGGCTTGGTGGGGGTTTTAAGGTTAAAGCTAACAATTGATTAGTAAAAATGTGATTTAAATTCGTTTTCAGCGAGAATCGAATTTTAAGATCTTTAAACTACAAATGAAAATAAATACCATTAAACTGTAGTAGTATTAAGTGGCATATGCGTTTTTGAGCATTAAGAAGGTTTTTCTTAGATCAATATTTTTATTTTCTTAATTTTGAGAAAACTGCATTAAGGGTCGTTTGGTTATCAATCCCTTTGATCATAGGAATGTATCTCACAACTAGAGGGTGCAAGTTGGAATGATGTTTTCTATTTCGAAAGCAAAATTTTCAAATTTGAACTTGCAAAATCTAAATTCAAATATTTTTCAAAATATTTTTCAAATTTGAACTTCCGATCTGAATTTTTTGAAGTGTTTCGAATTTATTCACAAATTATGTGTTATTGTTTTATTCACAAATTATGCGGTGCTTTTTTGGGTGTCCATTTTGGAACAACAATCTTGCTGCTTTGGTCAGTGTTGACTTGTTTATAACAGTGTTCTAAAAAACGCCATAGGCGGCCGTTTAGGCGTTGGGTGCCTAGCAACCGAGGCGTTTTTGAGCAAATCGCGCTGAAAAATTGGGTTGGGCCTAGGCAGGCTAGGCGGGCTAGGCCGCTTGGCGGTCCTAGGCGGGCTAGACGGCCCTTTGCGGTCCTAGGAGGTTTTTTTTTTATTTATATTTTATTAATTGGGTGTTTTTTTCTTGTTTGGTTTCATGGTGGTATACTTATGGAAATGGTGTATCTAATTTGCAAATGATGGATTTACTACAAGTTCATCCAATACTTAGGGAAATAGTGTACCTAATTTGCATTTTATCATTATTTTATTATCCATACAAGTATAGTTTTTTTTAGGTGTCAATATGCACTTATTTACAAGATATACAAGAAATTTACCTAAATCCGCCTAGACCGCCTAGGCGCTAGGCACTAGCCCGCCACCCGACTAGCGCCTAATGTTTTTTAGAACCTTGGTTTATAATAGTTGTTGTATCTTTTGTCTTAACGTATATTTGTTTATGCTGTTGTTGTCATGTCGAGTGTATTTTTTTTTTGCAAAATTTAGTTTGATAGTTGTTTTTAACTCGCCTGTTTCTTTTCGGACTGCTTCATGTCTTTGCATTAGCCAATTTGCATTGTGGTTGTTAGTTTTGTAACAGTGTTGTTTGAAATTATTTAATGATTTGCTCAATTAAGAATTAAACAAATCAGTCCTTATTTTAATGTTTATTTTTTAATTTGTATTGTTCAATTCTTATGTTTATAAAATTTGTATTCGCTTTGGATAGGTTAAATGGAAAGCGTAGAGGTCATCCCTGTTGCTCCATACACAAAAGCGGAGAAAATAAAGATCCGTGTGTGCAAGATATGGAAATCAAGCATCCCTGGAACTGTTCAAAAATGTCACACTGCTCTTTATCTTGCTTGATGAAGTGGTGAGTCGTCATTGTCTTATTATTTTGATTAGAGATTATAACGATAATAAGTAGGTTGCGATTTTTTCCTATTTATTACTTTCTTGATTTGCGTTTAAATTGTTATATTTTTTGTGTTCAGTTTTTCTTACATGGGTCAAGTGTTTTTTAAATGTTGGTTCAGATAGTTTAGCTATTTTCAGTTAGTATATTTCTCTGCAGTGACAATTAAATATGTTTGCATCAAAATATAATATTTCTTATGATTTGTTTGTTCTTTACCTTTTTAACTCTCTTTTTTTCTTCCTTCTTTTTTTTTTTTTTTTGGTTTACGGTTTAATCGACTGCGAAGAACCATGCAGTTGAAGCCTCTACATTGGACATTGACTATAAAGTTGTGGCTTCAAAAATTGTCAATAGTTGCTATGAGATTATGAATTTTTATACTGTTAGCAATACAAGGTGGTCCCACACGATACTCAGGTTAATGTTTGGGTTCGTCGTTGAAGAGCTGGAACATAAATTTTATTGTTCGAGCAGGAGTTTTTGGTTGGAATTAAAATGAAGTGGGAAAGAAGAGGTGGAAGAAGAAGTGTGATCCCTTATGGCAGAAATGAAATAAAAGAAATAATGCAGGGGCAGAATAGGGCAAAGCACTGTGCGTATGAACGCCAAGAGTAAAATGAGATTTATTATTATTAAATTAAATATATATTTAAGGCCTGGTACGGTTCTAAGCCAACATGAAAATTGAAATCAGAAATGGATATGACCGGTTTGCTCCGGTTTTTTAACCTAAGTTAATTTTTTTTGTCAACCCGGTTTTCTACCAACTATTTTGTCTCAATTTGATTCGATTTTGTGGTTTCACGATTTTTATGCCCACCCCGACTCTCAGGTACAATTCCTCTGTTCAATTTGGTTTAGGTGGGAGGACAAAAACTATGAATAGTAAATGAACCGAGCCACCGGTCCAGCTCAAAAAATAAAGAATAAATATCAAAATTACTTCCATCACAGTCCATCCATCCTTTATAAACCCTGCGGTAGCCCAATAGCCAAACACACCTGAAGCAACCATATTCTTCTTCTCTCGTCTCAATCGCTACAAGCGTTCGTCTGGTAAGCCATTTCTCTGCAACATTTCTCATCGCCTGTATGTTTCTTGCATATCTAGGGTTTGTAATCGAGTTGCCTAATTGTTTGATGTCAGCCGCCGCTGCCAGTGTGACTCCGATAGAATTCGTGGAATCAATTTTCGTTAATTTTTTCAGTGCCGTTGATTTAGGGTTTAATTTATATATGCTGCACCAGTTCCTTAATTTTTGTAAAAATGGAAGCTCGATTAATTAATAAATTTTTTATAATTATTTATACCACATTTAATAGCTTGTGATTCTGTAATTTAAATTTATTGGAATGGATGGGGTTATAACAAAGGAAATTGTTTGCACGTCAAGGCACAGTTCATTAAGGTTTTGTTTAGTTATGGGCTATAAATGGTGAAAAGAAAATTTTCGATTCTTTCGAAAGTTAATGGAGTGTGGTACAAGCTGCTGTCGTTCCCTTGTTTGTGTTAAATATATGAAATCTGGGTGATATGCATTTGAACAGACCTTCGAGACCTAAGGGAGATGGTAATATGTAATATTCTCGACCACTGGGAGAGGCGGTTGTCTGTTACAGGCTCTGCCTTTGACCGAGGCATTTCACTTCTTTCTTTGTTTGTGTTATATTTCTTTTGGGTGAGGGGATGAGGGCCGTGGGTTGTAAATGGTGTTGATTAGTATTGGATTCGGAAGACGTGCTATTGGGTCCTTTAATAGTTTTGTTTTTCCACCGGGGTGGGGGGAGGGTACAATAGAGATCATTGTATTGTGCGTATGGAAATTTAAATACAGCTTGATAATAGGTTACACATAGATGGATTTAAGGGTTCTTTAATCAAGTTAAACAATATGACAATTGGGTTTATCAGAAAATTTATCTTGAGTATCATAGTTTACAATTTTTATGTTTTGTATTTCAGAAGTTATAGGATTGAAAATATAGCTTATAGAATAAAAAAGTAAAAGTGTTTTTCTTGATCCATAATACCATTTTTAGGAAGGATAATCAACTACAATGGCATCAAGGATGGCTGCAAGGTTTGTGCCTCGGAGGTTTTCAAGCAGTGGAAAAGTTCTCGGGGAGGAGGAAAAAGCTGCAGAGAATGTTTACATCAAGGTCATTTTTAAATTCCCTGGATATTTCTCTTATGCTTTTCCTTTGAATTGTTTGGCTGCTTATTTGTCATGCATTTGTATTAATTTCCTCTTGGACATAGATCAAGTGCTGAGGATCGTTGTTGGATGATGGAAACGTCTTTATTTAGGAGCTGAACTTATGTAAATCACTGGTCTGTCTTGGGAATATGAAATAACAAACTGATTAAGAATCCGAAGAAATACTTGGAGGAATGTATCAGTCAGTATATCGTATACCTAAGTATTAATCATATAGTTGGTAAGCACTTTTTAGAGTTGGGTGTAAATGATGCAAGAGCCAAGTTAAAGGAATACTAAATAAGTCGATCTAATTACAAGCACATATGATGAAGAGGCTCTATATATATTTTTTTAATGTAATAAAAAGAAATTTAGACATGTATATGATGGTTCATTGTGTTTTAGTTTTTCTATGTCACATGATTGATGTATTAGATGTCACAATTTGTTTGTAGAATTTCTCGAGCGTATTGTGGGTCTGTTGAGATTCATGTAACAATGTACCTATGAAAGGGGTTTTTTCGTAAGCAATGAAAAAGAGTTGGTGAAAAAAAGTTCTTCTTTGGCTCGGCTAGTTACATAATGGATTTCTTTTTTATTCAAAATGGATGAGTACATCCCACTCTGAGCTTAAATCCTGAACTTTTCCTTTTCGACTACCAAAGGATTTGAATTTTGTTTTCATCAATCTTGTACTTATATCTTGAACTTGTACATCTGCATGTGAACGTCATAGGCCCAAATAAAAGCAACACATGAACTGGGTAGTGGTGACATGTGATGGATCTCAATTCTTAAGTCACTGTTCATAGGTTAATCATTTTGGGTTTGGTTTCCATAAAATATTGTTAGTTATTCTCGAGATACCTTTATTTCTTTCTTTGTTTTCTTTATTCTAAATCTTGATTATCAAGTTGGTAACTTGGTGTGGGGGGTTTCTTTGTGATGATTAACAATGTGTTAGTCCGATTGAATTTGATTCTTTCAATTGCGACGACAATGGAGGAGAGAATACTACCCACTTTTCCTTTGAGAATGATTCCCATTATTTTTATTTATCTCCATTCCTTTGGCCGTTTCTAAATAAAATTTACATTCATTTTGGGTTTGAAAGCCAACTGCACCAACAGTTTTAAGATCTTGATTTGCTTCTAATTCTCCTTTGACTTTTGGCTGTTTCTAAATAAAATTTACATTCATTTTTACCGTTTCAGATATTTAGATCCATAGGATCTCATCGTTGTTGTCAGTCCCACACATTTGGAAGTTTGTGGTACTCTATTTGTGAAGAAACCTATGTGCATAGATACTTATAAATATGTTGATATATTATATGATGTGTGAATGATTGCTTTGATTTTGTCTGTTTCCTTATCATATTTTGCAATGCTATTCTGGTACATCTTCTCCCTGTTATTGTTTGTTTGTTATTTTGCAGAAAACCGAGCAAGAGAAGCTGGAGAAGCTTGCTCGTAAGGTATGATCAGTATGTTTTACTTTTTATGTTCTTTGAGACTTGGGCAATCTTGGATGCTTATCACTTTAGAATGTAAAGCATTCCTTATTTATTTTAGCGAACAGATTTCAGCATTTTGAAAATTGAATTATTTTTTGAAGGCTTTTGTAGTTTTCAATGAAGCATTTTAAAATTGAAAAACAAGATAATACAACTAGGGGATGATACATTTGTGTGCACATAATTATTCGGCTCGTGTCCCTTCGGAAACGGCCGATAAAACTGAAACTACAGAAATTGCGATTTAGATACAATTTGTTGGTTTATCAACTTTTCATTTGCATTGCTGATCACATATTTATCATGGTTATCACAAAATTAATTTTGATTTTTACGTTCTGGTTATTATTTTTGGTTCCAGCCTCTTGGATTTAGTTGGAAAGGTATTGTCAAGTTGATACCACAATTAATATGGTCGATGATCTGAACATTTTCAGGGCCCTACACCAGAAGAGAAACCAGCTGCAAGTTCAGGGGGTTCAGTCTCTGATGCCAAACCAAGTGCCTCTTCCTCTGGAGCATCAACTGCCAAGGTATCGACAGACAAGTACCGGAATTATGCTGTTGTAGCTGGTGTTATGACTGCTGCTGCTCTGGGTTGGTACCTCAAAGCTAGTGGAAAGAAGGAAGAAGTGCAGGACTGAGATTGATGTAATTTGATATCGACAATTGAAGAATGAGTTGTCATCGCTCGTTCTGGTAGAGCAGAGGAATAATCCAAACTGTGAACCTTCTCTGTTTGTGTTCCGGATGCATACTGTGTTCAGTTCCGCAATATTCTCATGACCTTTTCTGTTTCGGGAAATATATTGCATAAATGAAAGGTGTTTAGCACCCGGTTTTCCAGTGCCAGTGTTTTCCATTATGCTAACAAATGGGTAGAGAAGGGTGTTGAACTGTTGATTGTGTTAGCAGGTTGGAATGTTACCGGGGCACAGCAGGTTCGTTAATTTGTGTATTTTTCGCATGTGGTTTTGAATGACTTACATAGCAGGCCATCGTGACATTTCGTGTCAGTACTCTCTAAGTTTTTGTCTATGATTTGTATCTTTGACACAGTACGTCAAGATGCTGAGAGTGTACCAGTGCCCTTGTGATTTAAACCATATAAACAGTTTCATCATTGTGTTCGGCACTCGAGCCACCTGTCATTGATAAACAAAAAGATGCTACAATTCTCTATAAATTTATGCAATCGGATGGAAATGTAATGGGAACCATAGAGCTTTGTTCATTAAAAAAGATCACTATACACATACAAACCTCTTTTAGGCATCCTAGTGGGTTGGGTTGAGTTTTTTTGGGGTGAACTTTCTATGATATTTAGAAGTATAGGATATTTTAAAATTTTAATATTTTATATAAAAAACAAAAATTATAATATAATGTTTAAAAATCTAAAGTATCTTATAATGCGTGGAATAAAATGGTAGGACCTTTAGTATTCTAATCACAGAGATCTATCATAATTTTTTCATTTCAAAACTCGGAATAAAAAATACTTAAATGATCGTTTGATAATCATTTCAACTTTAATTGTTGTTTTCACCTTTTAAAAAACTAAAGACTAATTATTATTATTTTTTTTTTTAAAGAAGAAAATCTTGTTAAATATTTACACAGGCCTTTTATGGGAATGGATTCAATTTTTCAAAAAAAAAAATGGGGACATCCTCGTAACCATTAGATTTGACTTTAATGAAATTCTATGGTTGAGATTAAATCATAAGCAACAGAATCTCAATCACAGAATTTCATTAAATCAAATGGGGGACACCCGTTAAGAGGATATCTCTATTTTTTCCCCTTAAAAGCTTCTGTATCTACAATAACTTCAAAAAAATAAAAAATAAAAAATAAAAAACGAAATGATTAACGTGTTCGGTCGACGAACCTGAAGGGCTGAAACCCCACACTTTTTCGCACTCGCAGGTCTCTCCTTTCTCCTCTGTTCGAACATAATCCTCACAGAGAAAAGAAAATGGAGAAGGGCAAGAGGGAGGTGGTGGTCTCAGCTCTGCAGTTCGCTTGCACCGACGACGTCGCCACCAACGTCGCCACCGCCGAAAGGTCTCTCTTTTCATTCCTTCCTCTTCCTCTTCACTCAGTTAATCTTATTTGTTCAATAAATTTACTGAGTTTTGTTTCCCCCCAATATATTAAAGTTTGCAATTTTTGAACTTGTTATGTGCATTTCTGCAACTAGAGAACCAGACCCACAAAAGCTATAAGCTTTTTTTCCTTGTGTGAACAATTCTTGTACTGGTTCGATTTCTGGGTAGCTCTTCTTTTTCCAATATCATTCCATTTTATTATTTTTTTTATCCACAACATTACTCCAATTGTGTAATTATATATGTGTGTTTGTTTTGCCATTCCTCTCAATGTGGCCAATACTGAAAACCCTTTTATAAGAGTAAAAGTAAATGGTTGCTATGGATTCTATTCGCGTTATGGCGGATGTCTCTTGATTTCAACTAGACACTGCTTTACTCAGGTTCAGTTTGCTTGCTGTGGTCAGTAGGCTTTTTGTCGTATTAATCGTTCAACTTTGATCCAATGAATTGGATCATGATGTGTGGCCCATCAATTACGTAAGTGTATGCTTTCGAAGATTCGTATGTGTATGTGAATCAAAATCTAATGGTTGATATGAAGTGTGTCATTCGCTTACATGATCCAAGCTTTTGTCCTATTAACAGTTGGATTTTGATCCATTGACTGAGAGCATGATATGTATTTCATTAGATTACTTAAAGAGTATGCATTTGAGCATTCTAGTGCGGCTGTGTAGGGCTTCAAAAGAGGAAGACCTTCTTTTAAGAAAAGAAAGAATTACATTGCTTGGTGCCATAATCGAGACTGCCTATCTTTAGGTCCTCTTCAAGGATCATCCCTTAAAAAAATCAACTAAATTAATTTTTTTAGTTTTCATTTGGACACACACAAACACACAAGTTTGCGTCAAGAGTTTCACATGATATGCTGATCTACAACTAATTTCGTCCCAGCTTCATTGGAATGTTTTTGTATCCGAAGCATATCATGCGATGTTGGGTATTGGATGATGTTTTTTCCGAAACTTGGGCCATTTTAATTTGAGATTAAATGAGCACACATTTTTTCCCCTAAAATATATGGATTTGGATCTTGATGGGGGCTAATTTAAACTAAAGAGTTGAGGTCTTGAGGCTCTTGCCTCAACAGGGTCCTCTCCAGGTCAGCCTTGACCTAAAGTTATGTTTGCTCTTCCTCATGCTGCAACTTTTTCTCTAAAGCAATTATCTTGTGAGTTGACTTTATAATCCTTTCCATTCAGGTTGGTTAGAGCTGCCCATGCGAAGGGTGCAAACATCATTCTTATACAGGTATGACACTTCAAATTTGGAAGATGTTTCTTTTGTTTTTCTAAGTTTTGAACTCTTTTGTTTTTCCCTTTCTTTTATTTGCCATGCTTATTATAGTGATACATTCTCAAAGGTATTAATAGATAATTAAAATGAGAAGTATATATGCAGAGCTTAACTAAGCATAAAAGGTGCAGAGTAAGAGGCAATGCATTCAACCTAAGATAGTAAATACTTTGATCAATTCTTTGACACAACCTTTGGACAACAATCAAATAATTTCTGGAATGGCTTCACTGTTGATTTTTTCCATGACAGAAAAGATGGTCACAGTGTGACATGTTGTACTTGTTGCATGATATGTATATATCTACTTATAGTCTGTATTGTGTATAGTAAGTAGTGTCGTACTTGTTGCATGATATGTTTGTATCTACTTATAGTCTGTATTGTGTACTGTAAGTAAGATTTAGATGTATTACACGTTCATATGGGTGTTGTGTATAAATCTGGTCAACATGTGTCATTACTTCGTAAAGGGTGTTCGTGTACCTCATAGTTTCCTCCCATAATGTCCTCAGAGGGACTAGCGACTAGGCTTGTATTCTGCCATTTCAGCTCTAAAAATAATCATATGTTCATGAATTTATTGATGTGTTCATTTTAAGATCATTAGAGAGACATGCAGCATTTATTTGAGTTCAATGTTTCTGATTAAATCTTTCCACCTAATGGTAGAAAAAGCTTGGTTTACGTCACTGATATTCAATTACAATCAGTATGAAACTAAGGTTATAAATTATAATTAAACTTTCGTGCTTCCATCCAGTAATGGGTGTTTCTTCTGTTCATTGATAGAATGAAGTTCCAAGCACTGCTGCATGCAGTGCTTGCAAATATTATGTGCATGTATTTGTTGTGGCCTTTTAGCACCTTGTTTTGGGCAATGATAGACTTCCATTAATATATGGTTATGGTAAAACCGAGGCATATGTATTTTTGGGGTGGGGGTTTAAATGACGCAGATAAATATGCTTTGAGGAGAAATTTTTCCATAAACTTATGATTGAATGTACATTTTTTAAGCATTTTCTGAATGATTTTTTCAGGAACTTTTGAGGGACATTACTTCTGTCAGGCACAAAGGGAGGACTTCTTTCAGCGAGCAAAGCCTTACAAGGATCATCCAACCATTCTTAGGTGAGAGTGCTGCAATGTAGCTTTACAACATATCAGGAGAACCTTTAAAAAAAAAGTAGAAAAAGAGGTTAAGAAAAGCTTCTTAATTGAACTTGCACACACCTTTCGGGCAGTAATACTTAATTAGATATTTTAATTGCATGCTATGTAGGATGCAAATACTTGCAAAAGAGTTGGGTGTGGTAATACCAGTTAGCTTTTTCGAAGAGGCAAATAATGCTCATTACAATTCAGTTGCCATTATAGATGCTGATGGGGCAGATCTTGGACTTTATAGGAAGTCCCACATCCCAGACGGACCTGGTATTCAAGTAGCATAATGTTCTTCTTGTTTGATTTCACCTGTTACCTTTAATAACAGCCGCTAGTTTTCTGCTGCAGGCTACCAGGAAAAGTTCTACTTCAATCCAGGTGACACTGGATTCAAGGTTGGTGCTTAATACAATTACAATCTATGCATAATGCTATTTAGCTTGCTTTTATTTTGGTGGTGATTAATGATGCAATGTTGTTGTTAAGCAGGTTTTCAAGACCAAGTTCGCAACCATTGGAGTTGGTGAGAAAACTTTAATTAGATGCTTCTTTAATTTCACGATTTTTCTACAATATTCTCTGGGCTTTATTTGAACTCTGCAATCTTTCTGTACTGGATAGTAAATTCACATGGAGCCTTGTATTTGTTGTGTATTGACAAACGGAATATTTAGTGTGAAGACTAAAAACTAAATCTGCTAGTACTTCATTTTGTGGCAGCAATTTGCTGGGATCAGTGGTTCCCTGAGGCTGCCCGGTGTTTGGTTCTTCAAGGTGCAGAGATATTGTTCTACCCAACTGCTATTGGTTCCGAACCTCAAGATGGAGGACTTGATTCTCGGGATCACTGGAGGCGAGTGATGCAAGGGCATGCTGGGGCTAATGTGGTAAGTGTTTTCAGTGTAGTTTGGATACTGTTTTTTTTTTCCTTTCTTTTCTCTCTTTTTGGTACTAAGGAGGGCCAAGGAGCAGACTACAATTTTGACTTATAAAGTTTTGTAGTTGGTATGAGGTTAGTTTGTCTGTCATTATTCATTTAAGTGGCTCATATACGGAGCGAAGTGTTTTTTCGTCCTCTGGTCTCTATTTTCTAAAAGTGGCGACTGCCTTGAATCAATATTCGCCACCCAAAAGATGCAACAAATAAATGGGGACAAATTGAAAGCTTTTTCATACTGAATTATTGCCAAAGAATGTAATCTAAATCCAGTTTTGATGAATTACAGGTCCCTGTAGTAACTTCAAATCGTATAGGAAAGGAGATAATCGAGACCGAGCACGGAAAGAGTGAGATCACTTTCTATGGTAACTCTTTCATAGCAGGTATTTTTCTCAGGTTTTCTTTTAACTTAAGAGTTGAAAGTTGAAACTACCTCCAATATAATCAGTCTTTTTCTTGATTGATTTGGACTGTTAAAAAGTTGGTGGATTTGCATAATTCAATGTCCAGGACCCACTGGAGAAATTGTTGCAACTGCTAATGATAAGGAGGAAGCTGTACTAGTAGCACAATTTGACCTAGACAAAATCAAATGGAAGAGACATAGCTGGGGAGTATTCCGTGATCGCCGCCCAGATTTATACAAGGTGCTACTGACATCAGATGGCAGCAATTCCCCGTTGTGATGATTTGTTTTGATACCATGCTTGTTCTAGAATTAATAAAGGAAGTACTTCCTAAGTACAGTGCGGCTACGGTGATTTCATGGAGGATTCACGATTTACTTTGGAGGAAGTATTATTGGCAGGTGGAGTATGTATCTCTGCTTGGGCAAATTTGGATTTAATGAAAAATGGATTTAGTGGATTATGCATTGTGTTTCCTATGTTCATATTCTGTGCTTGCTATTGGCATTCAACCATTGGAGGTCCAGTTTGTTGTAACGTCAGTATTTTTCAGAAATATCGGTGTTTGAATTCGCCATAATCCCTGTCAGCCGCCAAGCCACTGCTCGATGTGCCCTCATACGATCACCCAACAAGCCACTGCTCGACGTGCCCTCCTACGATCACCCAACTGTTGTGGCGAATTTCCCACGTTGGCTCGTAGATGGTCAGGATAACAGGTCCAATTTGCCCTCGCTCGCACTATGCAAGTAAGAACACCAAAGCTTCCTCATCAATATATAAGCTAGAGAAGAGCTCTGAGTAATGGACCTTCAACTCATTTCGACAAATTGAAAAGAAATTTTTCAATCAACTAATATTCTCAATCCGAAAGCTTTTTCTTTTTCTTTTTAATCAAAGGATGAATGGATTTGGTGAGTCGAATTACGCATAAAGTTTGGTCATCAAACTACAATAGTAACCTTATTCTCCAAACCCACACAAGGTGGTTGGAAAAAACCAAAACCCCGGAATTAACCATCCACTACACATTAGCATTCAACCCGGAAGCTTCCTGTAATGCATGACTAGGCCAAGTTCCTTGATGGCTTGATCTTGCCCTTTCCTTTGTTTCCCTTTCATTAAGTGTCAATTTTTTTATTTTATTTTATATTTTTCATCAGAATTTGTATTAGATTCTAGTCCTTTACGTTTTATATAAAGAATTGTACGCTTACTCTTTACCAATGAGATGCTTAATCCAGTATCTCTGAAAAGAGTGTAGAGGTTGAATGAGGACAACGTGGCGTCCAAATCATATACTTCTTTGAGAAGCATTACGAAGTGTAGAGGTTGAATGAACACCGAGACTAAAATTCTCGAGTTCAATTGCTAGCTTTCTGGAAATCATGTACCATTGGAAGGAGATTGTAGCTATAGCAATTAGCAACCCTAGTTTATCAAAGTGTATCAGGCGGCAAATTTCACCTTTTTCCCTTATGTTTTTGAGACTTAATTTCCTCCATTATATATACCAAATTATGCTCCTCCATTATATATACCAAATTTTGCAACAAAACTCGATTGCTGCTTTCAATTTGTTGTCCAGGTATGTTTTACACATGGTTCTAAAAAAGGCTAAGCGCTAGTCGGACGGTGGGCTGGGGGTCTAATGCCTAGGCAGGATCTGGGCAGGGACCAAGGCGGATTAGGTAGATTTAAGTAAAATCTATTATATATCATATAAATAAGTGTTTTATTTTATTTTCATAATACTTAAAAGATACATAATTGCATTGGGATGCATAAATTGCAAAATATAATGACATGGATTATAAAGTATTAGAACATAACGAAAATATAGGGGACAACATGTAGTGTGTGTTAATCTAAGTATTCAACAAGTCTCTCACAATTTATAAAAAATAAAATAAAATGCAAAATGAAAGTTATCTATTTTTTGTCTAAGTGAGAGTCGCGACCTAGGCATGGTGCCTAGGTTGGTTTGGGCGGGCTAGGCAGGCATCTAGGCACTCTAGGCGGGCGCCAAAGCAGTTCTAGGTGCCATTTCTTTATTAATCAGAGAGGTGACCAGCCGCCTAGCACCTAGACGGGACTTAGACGGCGCTAGGTGGGGATTTTTTGAACAATGGTTTTGCATCTCTAGGTACTCTGTTTTTCAATTGTAATTTCATTACATTGTTTATATTTAGGTTCATTGTTTGGAGGTGCAGTAAGTAGCAAAGTTGCCAGTTCGGCCCTGAACAACAATGGCTGCTGCATTTTTGGTTGTTTATGACTCAAAAAAGGTTTTTAGGCGTATTCAGACATCGACCCTCCTGTATCTTCAATATAACATATGAGCTTCCACCCAAGATCATTGCCAGTATGGCTGAAAGATAGGGACAGACACAAGTAAAGTGCAAATTTTTGGCGTTCGTCCTTCCAAATTTTCCTTCCACATCCTTCCAACATTAGAGAATACTGTCTTTTTTCTGAAATGAGAATCTTTGGCGTTCGGCCGTTGGTATAGGTTGATCCTTTTGGGTCCTTCACGTTACCCAGACAATTCACCAATATCATCACTAGTGATTGTTGCATCTGTCCGAAAATAAATTCCCCTCGGCCCGTGTTGAAACACTTAACTATACAACTCACATACTTGTCAGACTTGCAACATGCTGTTTGAATACCGTCACCTGAACGTTAAGGGTTTCTGACTTATTTGCGCCATTGTTAGCCTGTATGAACCACTGTTTCCAAAATTCCACAAATGCAAGAAGAAGAAGAAACTAGTTAGTAAACCTTTTTGTCCAATGAACCTACTGTCTTACCAGGATTATAGAACATTATAAGCATTAGCTTCATTACTGTTTTATTACCACACCACACTATTAGGTTTTTGTAAACCTACATGGTTCCAATGAACAACGCCTCCTCCCCCGGGCGTGCTTGCGCGCACTCATCGGATTTATGAACTTTAGCACCAGCTTCATTCAAGCTGTATTTCCTGATAATGTTTTGTTTCCTTGTAATTAATCATAAGGTACATGTGGGGTTACAGGACTAAATGCATATGTACATACATGGTAAAGATAATGGTAGCATGTTCAATTGCCCAGACCTTTTGAAGATGCTCCTACTCGAGAGAAGAAAATCAAATGCATGTTGGGAGAAGCAAAGAATCTATCAAATGTGTATGAGAAAGCTGTATATATATCACATCTACCACCAATTTCACGTGTTATATGATAATAAAGATGAGAATCAAAAAATAAAAAAAATAAAAAGACAACAAATAAAGGTGAGATTGTACTTTGGCTTTTTCTTTTATAAGAATGTGTTGAGAATAAATCTCACATTGATGGAAGAATAAATCTTGCATGGACTTATAAGTAAGTTGGGATACTCCTCATATTGTCAATTGGTTTTATGGTGTAACTTTAACTTTCTTTATAATGAGATTCTTTATTTGTCTTAGTAGTTGTTCAAATTTCACATCTCACGTCAGAATAAAATTCTTCCTAGTTTCTATAAACTTCTCTCCACTTCTCTCATTTGATTTCATTTTCTTTTGATCTTCCAAAACATGTAACCATTTTGGAGACATATATTTCAAATTTATTTATGTTTTGGATTGCTGGTTCTTGCTTGCCAGATTGGTACTTCGGTTTGTTTTCCTTCTTGGATCTTGTTGCTTCCCCTTTGTTACCCTTTTGTTGAAGATCAAGCTAGAAGGCGAGTTGAATTGGAAGTCAAAAAATGGAAATATAAACGCACATAGAATAAAATACTTTATTTTATTTATTTCTTTATTAGAATAAGGTGAGTTGAAATTTATTAGTTTATTTTATTTATTAGTGGGCTTTTTTTTTACTTAGAAAAATGCTCACATGACTTATTAACATCGAAACTGAATGATAAGTGCTTCTTTCAATTGCAATCAAGTAAAGGGTGTCATCTCTTACTAATCTATATGCATACAATACATGCACGAGAATAGGCCCACCTCAAGTGTTGTTAGACAAACCGACTCTCTTTCATTTTGTTATTCTTACTTTTTTTTTGGGGTGTGCTATCCACACACCCCTTGATAATTTATGTTCGTTGATCTTCTTCAATTCATCCAATCCGATGGTCGAAAATTAAAAAGGTGTGTGAGAAGTAAAATGAGGTGTGTCGATATCACACCCCTTTTTTTTATCACACCCTTTTTTTTCCGCTTAATTGACATAAAATCTCATTAAATAAATAGGCAGATTGAACATGGCAGCTACAGTTGTTCTTACAGTTCTTAACCGTAAGAACTATGACGATTGGAATTCTCGAATTAAGACCTACTTGTTGGTTGAAGATCTTTGGGACATTGTCAAAGGCACCTATGAACTTCCTAGAGAAGAAGATGCTGAGGCTGAACGTAAGGATTGGAAGAATAATGTCAAAGCCTTATACGCAATCCAGAGTTCTTGCGGGGATGATACATATAAAATAATCTAAGTACGACGCTGAGGCCAAAATAGCATGGCTTTCTTTGTATAGTTTTCTGAAGTCAAGTGATACCCCAAGTACAAAAGGTACGTGCATACATGAAAAGGTGAAGGAAAAAAGAAGAGCTGATAAACACACACACACACACACACATATATATATATATATATGTATGTATGTATGTATGTATATATATGGTAATATGGTTGTACCTTTTAGGAGATCTATCCTAATTTGATGAGAAATATTTTGTAATTATTATGTAATAAAGTAATCTCATTTTGTAACGAATAAAAAGAAAAGTATTATTGTTTGGAAATGTAGAAAAAGAAAAGACCAATTAAGAATTGATAGGTAACATCTGAACATCAAGTTTTCCATTTTCAAATGAGAGGTCACTTGTTAAAGCGTATCCAAGCCGGATTGATGGAAATGATCGTGATGCTGCAATGGAAGGAGGGCTCAATGTAGGACATGATTGTAAAACCTTGTTTGAATGACAATGAGATTATAGCTGGATTACTTGGGTGGCACTTACTAGTTGTACTGGTTATGTGAAACACAAGGAGTCTTAAGAGCCTTAGTAAAATAAGAGTCGTGGAGTTTTAAATATTGCAGCTGATCTATTTAAATCCTTATTGAGTATATACTAATATGGATAGTCATGATAGGACTTAAACTTGTTAAAGAGATAGGGATTATCACTCTTTCTGATAATAGGCTGGACTGAGTGAATCTTTAGCCATATGTATGGTTGTACAAATAGATGAAGTCCCTGCTTCCACACATACGCTCTATTAACATCTAAAACCCTATTCACTTAGAGAGGAGTATTATTGAGTGTTGAAAGTAGATGACTTCTTATGTTAATTATTCAATGGTGATATCTCCAGGTAAGTCGTTCTATCAGATTGCATGTTGTTGTATATCAATTATTGTGAATTTGATATTCAATCGGTAATCCTAGTGCTGAGTTGGTTTTCTACATTGCTGTAGTTCATATATTTATATATTGCTT